GCTAACTGCACTGGTCCCATCTAGGTCAGCTTACCCCAGCATCAGTTAAAGGCCTCCATAGTTACTAGGAGCCCCACCAAGGTTACAGAGCAGGGGGTACTGATTAATTTTTCTTCTGACCAGTGTCATTTCCCTGTGAAATCTATGTCTGTCAATTAGGCTTTCTTTCTCAGATGCACAATCTTCTAAGATGGTGTCAGCTCAAAACTCTAGATCCATGAACTCATGCGATCCTCTCCACAGTTCTCAGAAAGTAAGTGTTGTTACATCTCCAATTTACAGAGGGGAAACGTGAGCTGGTGTAGGTTCAGTGACTGCTCCAAGATCACAAAGCTAGTGAGTGGCAACAGGATACAAATTCAGAGCTCACATTTTTTTCTACTGAGCCACTCTGCCAGGCCAGGCCAGGCCAGGCTCCCAGGACTATACACTGGTCTTGCTCCTCCACCTTCCATCCTGGTGGGAGATTCTATAGCCTTCTCTTGCCTCAATCCAGGGCTCCTAGGCAAGAGTTGGTGCTGTTCATTTCCACAGCTTATTTCCCTCATTTGCTCCAAGTGTAACCTGACCAACATTCTTGGAGACTTCTAGAAGGGAAACTAACTATGGAAAGAAACTGCTTCTTCTAGTTACAGCTTCATCCAAAGCAGAAGGGAGTGATTAAAAGCAGTGACAGGACTTGGCCTTTTGCAGCCATGCAACCAGTCCTGCCTGTGAACGCACCAACTTGGCACCCTCAACTGCACAATTCATTGCGCATCTAGTTAATGGAATGCAAACCCACAGCCCCCTGCAATCCCACACCTCAAAGGATGATTACCAACACACCTCCTCACACAGGTCAGCAGGCTCTTACCACATGACTTCATTTGGATTTTTGGACAAGTTATATAACTGCTCTGTGTTTGAGCACTGCCGCCGACAGACAGCAGTGCTCTGGGCTGCAGTGGAAAGCAATGAGGAGAAGGCAAAGGACTTCAGGTTTTCTGTCGTCCTCCCACCCAGTGCTAGGGATTGAACCTAGGGCCTTGTGCATTCTAGGCAAGCGCTCTACCATTGAGTCACACTCCCAGCCTGAACTTCAGTTTTTCAGCCTGGTTACAACAGTACAATTCTGTCTTCCAGCCATAGAAGCCAAGGTATGTAACATTCAGGGAATTCATGTCCCTTCAATTATCCAGGGAACCCAGCCTTAGTATACCCATGCATAATTGCAGCTAAGAAGAGAAGGGTACCAAATGGGGATACTTCCTTTTTAGGCTTCATGACCTGACTTCCCTATCTCTCCCTGGCTTGTTTGCCTGTTTCCTTCTTGGGAGTTCCTGGACTCCTGAGAGAGGGGTCAAAACTTCTCGAGTGGCACATTTCTCTGAGAAAAGTCTGGGTTTTCCATACTTCTACAGGCCAAGGCATGGGAAAGAGTCTAAAGCAGCCCATGGTCACTGTTAGCTCTCCCCTCCCCCCAGTCACAGCTGATGAACCCTTTACAAATACCTCCATGGATATGATTGCTGCAGAGACGAATAATACTGCCCATATTCCGAGTGCCAGTGCCAGTAACGTTCTGGGTATTATCACCGCGAACACCAATAACTGCTGCTGGGATTGTCTCCACTAATGCCAGCACACACTGCAGTGATTATCCTCGCTAATGCCCACCACCGTGACATTGTTAGAGCTGAAGAATAGACTGTGCTGTACCCAGAGGCAGGAGTTAGAGCAGCTTCCTGGAGGGCAGAGAAGGCCTAGCTTGCCCTTAGGGTATGACTCTTCTTGGGAGATGCCCCAGTGCCTGAGGTCAAAGAAGGCCAGTGTGGCCAGCACATCCAGGGTCCACCTGGAGGGAGATGTGCTTGGCCCTCCACTCCCTCTAGGGTCTAATCCCTGGACATGCATCCCTTGTCCCATCGCAGTACCCCAAGTCAATTTCCCTTTCACCTGCAGTCCTGGCCCAAGAGCTGAAGGACACACCTAGGTGTCTGTGCAGCCATACCCAGGCTCCTTCTGCTACTGGCCTGCCAGCTGCTTTGCTACCTTGGCCTGACTGCAGAGTTGGGCTACATCATCTTGACACATAATTATCTCCCCTATTCTTAATCATCTGAGCTGCTCCCTAATGCAAACTGGGCCTGCCAGCTTGGAGGCCTCTGGAGCGGGGGAGGGGAAGATGGCTGTGCAGATCTCCCTTTGCTCTCACTTCTCCCCTCCTCTCCCTTCTTACCTGGGTCCTATGGATCAAGAGTGGGGTGGTGCTCAGGGAGAGATGACCTTCCTATCAGGCCTGGCCCAGGGAAAGGGCAGCTCCATCATGCCTGGGGCAAGCTGAGAGGAGGGGGAGTCAGAGCGAGAGAACTCCAATGAAAAAGGACAGGGCCCCAAATCCTTCTTGCTACCTGGCTAGGTCCAGCAGGAAGTGTTTAAGAGGAAACTCAAAGGTCCTCAGTATCCCTCACCTGAAAATTTCATTGACTTCCTACACTGTCTCCCTGCTGCCATGGCTGTCACTCTGCTAGAGGATCAGCCTCCCCAATCCAACCCTGCCCCTGTCCCTCCCTTGCCCATTTTCTGGGCTACTCTTGCCTTCAGAAAAAAGCCCACCCTCCTTACATGGCCCAGTGATGGCAGACCTCCTGTGACCCTAACCATCTCCTTGACCTTGCCTCCCATCATTCCCCTCCTGCCTGCTCACCCCTGCCAAAGCCACTCAGCCTCTGCTGGCCCCAGGGCCTCTGGTCACAAGGCTTACTCTTTCAGGTAGAATATCAGGCAGTCATTGTCTTTCACACTCTCCTTACTCTCCACTATCCAGGCCCCTCCTCAAAGAACAGTGCTTCCTGGCAGTAGGTTCCCTTTTCACCTCCCTCCCCATGCTCAGCTCCCAGGGCCAGACCAGACTTCCTCCAGTACCATATCTGATGGCCTTTAGGCTCTCTCCTCTGCTAGAGTATAAGCTTCTTCTATTGATTTCCTCTGCTAGAGTATAAGCTTCTTCTATTGATTTTTTTTTTTTTTTTTGGTGGTCCTGGGGTTTGAACTTAGGGCCTCACACTTGTTAGGCAGGCACTCTACCACTTGAGGCACTCTGCCAGCTCTCGAGTATAAGCTTCTTAAGGACAAGTATTATATCTTGTTCTGCTTGGGGACCCTCTGCACCAAGCCTTTCTTGAAGCTGATGGGCAGAAAGAGCCACTGAATTAAAGTGACTCAAAACAATGAATGGGAGCAACTGCTTAGAGAAGAGACCACTCTGTTCTAGGCCTGCCTGTCCAGCTCTGGGTGGTCACAGCCTCAGGATAGCACGTCCCTACGCCTGGCTTCCTTTCATGGCCCATCAAAGCCTAGGCAACAAAAGACATGCACAGCCCCAACTGCAGGCCAACTGGGTAGAAGACAGAGGAGTTTCTGTGGCCTCTCCAATTCCCTGGACATCTCACACTCTAAACGAGGCAGGTGGCTAAAGAGAAACCCTTAGGGTTTGAGGCAGACTCCTACCAAAGCACTCAGGGTGCCAGGGAGCTTGGCTAAGGCTTGAGTATGGGAAACCCCAGGGAGAACTGGACTTAGGGCCTTTCACTCAGCCTCCCCCTGCCCATCAGGGGCCGCCGCCAAAACAACCACAATGAAATTTAGTGAGTGGCAAAGGCCGTGGCAGCCAAATGGGTTTGGATATTTTGGAAGAAGGAGAAATAGAGCCAGACAAGCTGTTTCCCTGTGAAACGAGGCCATTAGGGCTTCTGGAAGGAGGCCAGCACAGGGTCATCACTGTCTTGCCAGGCCTAGGCCTTTCCTATACACTCTGTCCCTTCTGCTAGAGGCCAGGGCTCTCACATTCTCTTCTCTCTGCCTATGCCTGAAGAACCCAGACTGTGGCCCATGGAATGTCAGCCTTGTCCTTCTTTTCTGGTCTTTACCCAAGCTTCTCCCACCAAGGGCTTGTTGATGCTTGGGATAGAACTTATTGCCCAAGCAAGACATTCTTGAAAGAAGAAAAAAAAAAAAAAGATGCTGCCTGGCCCAGATGTACAGTCGACAGGCATAAATGGGACTATCCTGGGGTAATGGGATGTATCTTCAGCTCTTCTTTATCCTCTCTAGGAAGGATTCTGACTAGGTCATGGGAGATAAATATAAAATCCTATATCCTGCAAAGACCAAAAGGTTACTACTTTCCTAGCTGGGAATGTGAGAAATTGGAGCAGGAAGCAGTTCTGAGGCACTGGTGTCTCTGCTTGTCTGGGTCGATCAGTACTTTACGCTGGCCTCATATATCAGAAGAGAACCAGATGGTCACCAAGGGACTCCCAGTGCTGTCGTATTTAAAAAACACCTTGCCCAAGTTCATCTCCATCATTCTCTCCCCTTATTTTCTTTCTTCCCATCTTCCTCTTCATTTCCCATTCCCTTTAACTTGCAGCCTAATAGTCTGGCTACTTGTTGACGGTGCCAGGGGAAAGAGGGGAAGGGCCAGTGAGGAGCCATGTGTGTCCACTCTAATGGAGAAGAGTAGAGAGAAGTTCCATGTCCAGCTCCCTGAGTGGTTTTAATGGAAGCAGTGTACATGTGTTACAGAGAAGTGACCCCAGGGCCGGTTGCATATGATGTCATTCCCTACCTTCTGATGGATTGGGATCAAGTGAGGACAAAGTAGGCTGGCTTTTCATCCTTGAGTTAGAGACCAGCTGTCCCCTCCCCCTGCCAACCTCCAAAATCTTGTCAAGGTAAATGGTTCATGCCTCTCATCCTGGCATCCCACAGGGATAGCTGGGGTGCATCCCAGAGGAAGGTGAGGCTGTTAGGGCTGAGCAGATGGTGAAGCTGGTGGCCCCACCAGCAGCCTCCCTCCCTCTCTCCAGGAGCCAGCAGGACAGTGGGCATACCTGGGCTTTGCTACTAAAACTGATCTCACAGCAGAGCAGCTGCGAGGCCAGGCGGAAACCGGAGCTCTGAGTCCAAGGACAAAGCATGCAAAAGGGAAGCCGAACCTCTTCCCTCCTCCCTACCTTCATCTCGTTTCCTCTTCTCACCATTGGAGCGAGGGATCCCCAGGATCCCGTTGATGGAGTAGGATCCCACTGGGTCATTGGAGGCGCTGGAAACAGGAGGGGAGGCCGTGCTGGGAACTGGACAAGAGGAAGGAGGAAATGCCATCAGAATAGCAGTTGTAATTGTAGGCCAAAGACCCAAGGTTGGGACAGAAAGAAGCAGAGGACAGAAGGAGGAATGAGGAGCCCATATTCCCCTTCTTCCTCTGAGGCTAAAGAGAGGAAATGCATTCCTACATACAGTTCAAGCTGTTATTACTTCTGTCCAGCCTACACTAAATGGTGACCAGTCAACCAGGCCTTCTCTATGACGTATGGGTTTAACTGAGTCCTCAAGTTCCCTCCCTGAAAAATAATGGAGTGCAGGCCCAGAAAACCCCAAGACTGACTCAGTCTAGAAAAAGTCTTGGTGGCTTCTGTCTCTTGGAGCAGCTCATCCAATCCTCAGGCTGGGTGAATCCTTCCACACAAACCCCAGCTCGTTGTTCCTTAGTCTCCCGGGCAGAGTCTTTACCAGCCCTGATTTAGAGTTTGAGGCTTTTTAAGATCTGTCTCTAGTGCTCTGGGAGGCACAAAGCAGGTCCTGATGCTTCCCGGGGGTACACAGTCCTCTATCCCAGTTGCTTCTGGTCTTGAAATCACTTGAGAAGTTCCTAAGCTCCTCCTCAGGGGACAAACTGTGAACCCATTCACTCTGCCGTGATCAGCTCAGGTATAGCCTGGCCCAATCCTCCTTCCCAGAAAACTCTGTAACCTAGGCCTGCCAACTCTGGGAGAGTTGGGACCAGCCAGTTCTACTTCTTACTGGTCTAGAGAGAAGAGGATGGCTGCGAAGAGGGACAGCAGGAAATATTTAACCATATCCCAGACATCCCAGTCCCCCGAGCCTCAAGCCTCATCTATGGCAATAGCAGTACCAAGTGCCCTTGGGTCAAAGAGAAGCCACTGTGTGTATGCATGGCGGCAGGAAAGAGTGTCAGCAGGTGTTCTGGCAGGCCTGACCATATCTATGAGAGACCCTGAGCATGGGTTGAGAACTAAGGAGGCTGGAGAGAGTCAGAGAGCTACAATGTAAATGAGGTGGAAAGACAAGGAGATCAGGGGAGATAGTCCAAAACAACCAAAGCTGGAGTAAGAAAGAAAGAGGGACACAGAAAGAGAGAATAAGACAAAACAAAATGATAGGGCAGGAGAGAGAGGGAAGGGGAAGAAAAAGTAATGCTACAAGAAAAAAGCATTGAGGGAGAGAGAGAGGGGACGGTGGGGCAGACACTGACTAAGGCAGGACAGAGGACAGGTGGGAAACAGAGACCCATCGCAGTGAACTAATCTCAGTTGGGGAGATCCTAGAAGCTCAGAGAGAGGAGAGATTAGGAAACATGGTGGGCCCTGGACCTCACTGGAGTGGGCAGTTCCCAGGGCTGATCTGTTTCCTGGCTTTCCCTGGGCCAGACCAGCTTCCCCCCTTCCCTATGCCCTCTTACCGATGGTGTGGCCAGGGGCAGTCACTCCTGTCCCCGCCCCATCCGGCGTTGGGTGGAAAGGTTGTTGAACTTTGGTCCGGATGATCCTGCAACAGCATCACAACAGCATCACACATCACCCTGGCCAGTGCCTGGCCTGGCCTGAGGAAGGGTCCTCCCAGACTCCTTAGCTCCATCTTCACCAGTCTGGCCTGCATTCCTGTCCTTACCCAATTGCTGGAAGACATGGTTTCCTTCCTGTCAGCTCTGCAATCCAACCTAATGAAGCTCTCAGGGACGCAGTCTGTTTCCTGTGCTGCTCAGTGCACCATCTGAACTGTGGCTTGAGTTTTGGTAGCAAGGATAGGGTGACAAACCAAGTAGAGCACAGCATCTTTTCTCTTTCTTTGGGGATGGGGACTACCCTGGTGGCTGGTTGTCTACCTTACCCTCCTCAATCACACATATACACCTCCTGGTACCAGGACCTCCTGGGTCGGAGGTCATTTTGGAGCTAGCTTTTCAACTGGAATCCTATAGTAGTCATCCTGAGTCAAGGAGGGGGTGGTAATTTCCCCATATCCCAAACTAAAGAGAGTAGCCAGGGAAGGGCTGGGCCATAGGATTCGTGAGCCAAGTTCACCCCAACCAGCCAGGTGAGTTGCAAGCCATGAGCCAACTCAGTTTTAACCAGCTTTTGCTAAGCCATTGCAGGCTGCCCCCCAGTGCTGGAAAGCTGCAGGGGGTGGCTTATATCCAAAGAATGCTAGGTAACCCAGGGGGATGAAGCAATCAGTGCCAGAGGATGCAGAGGAAGAGCCACCCCTTGAAGGTGGGGAAGCTGGGGAAGGAGTGACTGAGGAGGTGGAACTTGATGCAGATCTCCAAAGCAGAGTTAGGCTGAGTTCAGAGGCACAGAAGGCAGTTGAAAGGACACAGGCTGCAAGTGTCCACATAGCCTCAGGCTCATAATTCAAGTTTTCTGTGCCTCAGTTCCTTAAACTATAAAATAAAGAGGCTGGACTATAGGATCACTAAAGACCTCTAACCCCAGGTGTTTTTTTTATAGAAGGAATCTCAGATAAACAAATGGGAGGGAAAGGTATTATACACAGGTGCTGGAGGAGGACAGAAGCATGGAAGCCAAGTAAGCAAGTAGTTTTGAGGGTTAATGCCTAGACCAGTCATCCAGGAACAGTGGAGATATGTAAGAGAGGAAGAGGAAATAAGGCTGAAAATTTGGATGTGATGATGAAAACAGCTATTTTCCACTAATTAAGCATCTGTTATATGCCAATATTGTATATAATCCATATTACTCATATATATTCTTATTAATTCTCAGAACAACCTCTAAAATAGATGCTGTTACCCTCATTTTGCAGAATGAAAACCAAGGCCTGCAATGGTTAGGCAGCTTACTTAAAACTCACACTGCTGCTTAGGACAGAGTCCAAATTCAGTCTCCAAAGCCTAAATTATGTTGCTACTCCCAACATAGGAACCAGGCTTAGAGGGTCTGAAGCTATGAGAAATTTCTCAAGCTAGAGGGGACGTGTATAAACTGATTGTTCCTAGGAAGGCAATCACCAGGCATGATCTGATAAGGAGCTGGTCTCAGGAAATAAAAGGAAGAACCTGCAAGTATCTGTGGAGGCAGAATGGCCAGAAACTGGCAACTAACTGGAGTCAACCATGGCTCTAAAACCTTGGTTCTGTGTCACTGGAAGCTTGGTGGTACATGTCATTGTCAGGAATAGGGTTACAGGGAGGGGACTGGTTTAGGAAGGAAGTGGTGATATTGGTCCTGGATATGCAGTAATGTGAGAGGACACAGCCAGGCATGAGCTGACCCAGCAAGAAGGGATTTAAGAAGGTTGTGTGGAGATGGATGAGAGGTGTCAGGAGTGGACATAGGCAGAACCTGTGCTGAGCAGGACACGTCACCTAAGTTGATGGAAAATAATGTTTTAAGATGATAATCTGCAGTGCCATCTGTGACATAAAGACTGAAGGGAATTGGGAATAAGAAGAGGTACACATTTGGGGATTAGGGCAGCCATTACTGACAGTGGGGAGAATAATCTCAGCCTTGTGGCTGAATAGAAGCAGGAACCAGGCAGACCAGGCAGGGTGCGTCTGGGAGCAAAGGGAGGCAATAAAAGGAGAGTGTTGTGTGGAGTAGAGGACTGACAGGTCAAGGAGTATACACAGGACACTCCAGGAGAGGAAAGATCTGGATATTTTTGTGGATTGATAAGGGAGAACCAGTGAAGAGGGACAGACTAAAGTTGCCAGAGAGACTGGATGACAGAGAACAGGGCAGAACAATTGGGGAGTGGAGTGGAAGGCACACAGAGGAGTTAGCTAGATATAACAAAAGCTTCAAAAAGGAGCTTTTATGACTGTTAGTTCTCAGCATAGCAGAAGATAAGTTGAAGAGCTGAGGAGAAGGTTGGGAGCCTGATCACCATGGGAAAGATCAGACAACAGCTGGGGGCACTATAGACTCATGTACAAAAAAGATCTAGAAGAATGTTGAGCAGCTCAGAAAAGCTGTTCCTGATTCATTGTAGTACAAGCTTCTAGGGTCTCATGGGGCCTGTGGTGGCTCTGTTTGAGGGCTGATAGGCTCTGGACTACGGAGCCCAGGGCCAGGGCTGGGAGAGACAGATAACTGGACGGGCGGGTGGAGTTTCTGTCTTTGTTACCCATGGCCTCTGACCCCTGGGGCATGGTACAGATTTAGTGGAGGCAGCAAGTGATGGAAAATCACTACTCCCTGACAGCAGCTTGGTGGTGCAAGGGAGAGGAGTTGGGCAGGGTGCCTGCTGCAAGTTACTAATGCTGCTGGTGTCCATCCATGACCCGAGGCAGGAGGCACTTGCTAGAACCCTGAACTAATCACAGAGAATTTAAGAACTAGAGTCATGGAGACCTGATGGCCATCTAGTGCCCATCCTGTATACAACCCAACAGCTCATAGGAACACTGTTAGGGAATGAAACATGAAGTAAAGCAATTGTGTGGGATGACTGCCTAAGACTGTTTCCCTGTTACTCTTCCTCATCCTCCAATTCTTTTTCCTTCTTGGCCCCACACACTAGCCAGACACATCTGTGTTCTCCATGGCCCCAGGCAGGTTTGGCCTAGAAGGTTAAGTCCTCAGATGTGGATCCTCAGAGAGTGCAGTTGAAGACCACAACTCTGCTTGGGAACTAGGAGGTGTCAGTTCTCATTTTCACGGAGAGACAGGGCACTGCTCCCTACTTCCTTCACTAGCAAGCTTTCCTACACAGGATGCTCTCTCTTCTCTCATTTCAGATGAGGGTTCACCTTCCCTGGGCTTTGCCCTGTGCCCAGTATGGAGACTTTCAGGCTCTTTCACACGCACAAGGGTGTAAGCATAGTAAAGAAAATTAGGGTTATGGGCTCAGTCTGCCTGAGCTGGAATCCTAGCTCTTACTTACTGCCTGGGAAACCCTTGGCAGTTTCTTACTCCCTTATCTGTAAAATAAAATACTACTACTATGCACTTCCCAGGACTGCAGTGAGATAATCCATGTAAAGTGATTAGTATGATGGTTGGCTCAATAAATGCTGGCGACAGTAATAATGCTCACTGGTAATATTATTCCTGTGGGTGATCTCTAGGCTCAGCTGCTTTCAATTTAGGGGTTGAGGTAGGAATAGGCAAGGGTGCCTCCCCATTCAATATGCCCCAGCCTGGTCCATGCAGGTGCTACTGGGGAAAAACATGGAGAAGACAGGAAACTGCAGTAGCAGGGGTTGCAGGCTAACCTCAAAAGAGGTTGTGTCGGAAACACTCTCAGGAAGACTTGGGATTGGACCAATCCCCACCCAGGGGCACTGGGAAGAATCCACAGAAGACCCAAGAGATGGCAAGGAGGTGGGTGTTGTGACAGAGCTTTAGAGCAAAGGATGACGAGGCAGGTGGCAATGTCAATTCCTCTTTGGTTAAATTCCCAGGATGCCCCCATTTTTCACCACCTTAGAGATGGAAACATTTTCATGGGCTTTGTGCATCTGAATGGAAGGCCTGAGTTGAGTCCCCCAGCAACTCCAACAGACAGAGAGGAGCTCTCAACCTCTGAAGAAAGCCCTGGGAAGACTCAGATGCCACTTCTCCTTCCACCCCTCTTCCTTTCTCTCCTTTTTCTCTCATTGTTTTCCTCTGTCTTTCTCTCTCATTTTTTTCTGCCCCTCACTCCATCTCTCTCTCTTTGTCCATCTGTCCATCTCCTTGCACCCTGAAGTACCACTGTGGCTGTGTGAGTTTATTGATTCATGGGAGCTAGGGGGAAACAGGAGGCAGGGCTGGGGTGCAGGCTCTGGGATGGAAATAGAAGGCTATAAATTATTTGTGACAGGAAAGCAATAGTGGCAGTGCTGAGCACAAGTCCTGTGTCACTATTAGATTCCTTTTAGCCTGATGACACTGTAAAAAAGGTTAAGTGTCTGCTGGAATCGTACACCTGGGGGGCCGGGGCAGCCTGGGAGCAGAACAAGCCACTGAGAGCAGGTATATCAATTCACCAGGCCAATAATATTCCTCTCATTGATCGCCACGCAAAGTTCAAAAATCTCATTACAGCCAGGCAGACCGGGAACTTTTTACAAATCAATAGAATGATATAATGTATGTATACTTAGTACAAATGTATCTATTCATCTATCCATCCATCCACGGTCTGCCTCAGGGTTTCCAAGTTAACCTACATCATATTATGTTATGTTATGTATGATTTTATATTGTCTTATAGTATATGGTAATAAATGGTGTGCAAAAACTCCCCGAGGTAGAGACAAGAAGAGGCCCTATTAGCAATGAAGTGGCCTTGGGCAGCTCACCTTGGAGAGAGTGAGGTGGCAGCATTTCCAGTCCTAGGCTGGTCAGGATTTCTAGGAGCCGTGCTTCCTCGGCAGCAGCAATGGTAATAAAAACCACTGTCTACTAAGTATTTCCTGTATGTTAGGCAATGTTCTAAGTACTTTAAACAAGTAGTTCTCTTAATTCTCACAACAACCCATTTTGCAGAATTGGGCATATTGTAATTCGCCTGAGGTCATTCATTTTATTAATGGC